TGGGGGGTGGTAGGGAGAGGTGTTGGGGTGGGGCAGAGAGAAAAAGAATCAACCCATCTTCCTATTTTCCACCAAACTTATTACCATGTTTTATTTATAATTGTTCTCAATAAATATCTTATGAATAAATTAATGCATGAGTGAACAAATGACTATATGAAAGCATGATAGTAACATATGGAGAGAAAAAAGTTAAGGATGTGAGAAAGATGATTATCTTAGGTATTTTTCCCAAATATATAACTATATATATTTGAATAAAAAAAACTTCTAACAGATACACAGACCTTCATTCCAGCCAATGAGAGCATGTTGTTCAGTTTATACATCCCAGACTGCACTGGGGTTGTATACAGCAAGGCATCATTAAACTGAAAGTAGAAACATTTCACAGTAAGTAAAAAAACAAAGTAAAAAAACAAATTTCAGCTACAAAGATATTGATAAGATACAAAAATAAAGGAAAAATACTATTTCTTCACTAACAGCTCTCTGAATAAGATACATCTATTTAGCTATATACACTACAACCACCTAGAATGTTGTATTAGAATATTATTAAAAAGGCAATTTCTGGAAAATGTGCTTCCTTTCCAAGTTCTATATCAGATTTAATGTCTTCTGAATTCTAAATCCCCCTAAGGTATTACAGTCTGCCTAAATAAATGACTGAAACAATTCTTCCGAGTTACAAATGAAATAAACTACATTCCAAAAGGAAATAATTTTCTGATTATGCATCATAACAGACTTCAAATATGCAATACGGCCAAAAATGCCACTAAAACTGATTTTTGAATGTGCTAAGCTTATCTGCTATGGATAAATGTCTCCTTTCATTAAACAATTATCCCTGCCTCTAACAACAGAACTACACATGGCCTCTTACCAGGAAAAACATTCGGGGCTGCATCACTTTCCGAGATAGCTTCATCAGAGTTCCTTCTTTGAGAAAAACCTGTTCATCCAAACAAACATCTATTTAGTCCTACCATCATAACACAATGACAATATATAAATAAGCTCCTTATCAACTTTCTTTCCTCAGAAACCTTTTTGTGTAGGGCCATGGAGACATAATTTCCTTGTGACTTTTACAGTCACAGTTAATTTTAAATCTTATACATCATTTAGGAATTGGACGAGCAAGCAGAGTTACATAAATCCAATATTGGCCCCAGGGATACTGTGCGGAGAGACGTGTGACTGACGGAGTGCACACTTGATCCTGAAGCACGTCCAACATCCTGACAACTGCATTTTGCAATTTTCCTGAATTCATTCCCTAGGCCGCTTTTGTGCTCTATGAGGAGCATCAAAATATCAATTTTCCCCTTCCCTTCATAATCCTCTCTTATATTAAAGATTTTAAATGAAATTGTCTTCAAAGCTGTGTGAGCCCAGTTGGTATTACACAATAAAATGATCCCATTAAATCAGATAATCTGTGGGGTCCCTTGCCATTCTCCTAATTGAATTGGAATTATATCATGAATGGACTTGCTCCTAATTAAACCGTCACAGTGACTTACATCATGGAAGTTTTGAATGGATAGAGTGATTGAGTTTGGATCAATGAAGAGTGACGATAACAACCTATTTTCATAACTGAAATGAAAAATAGCTACGAATGGTGCCTAAATGCATTGTATTAAATTTGCAAAAGGCAGTCTAAAACACTCACCCGTCCAGGCTGCACTATTTCATGGTGTCCACTTAAGCTGTACTGAATTTGCATAAGTTTCTGAAAGTTGTCCTACAGAAAAACAATGTAGAGCACGTGAAGGCCCAGGCTTTCAGGTTCAAGAGTACACCAACCACTGATATCAAGATACTTACTCCTTGCTTCATGGTGTCATTGGCATGGTTGGCTACCTCTATGACAACAGCAAGGGCATCTAAAATGTGTAGAAGAAGGTACATTTGGTCAATACCAGTGAGACAAACGGTTTGCAGGATTAAGCAACTCCAGATGACAAGTTAGCTAGTTCACAGCAACCAACCGCGGGAAGAGCTCACTTAACTGTGAGGAGGCAGAAATATGAGGTTTGATAAAGACAAAATCAAGGAAAAACAGGCAAAAAAAACATTTATGAAAAAATGAGCCAAAGAAAGACATTGTAGACAATGTTAATCAACGGCATGAATCAGGGGTGTTTTGTGCTGAGATTTGATTGTCCTGTTACAGTTTACAAGGATAAGGATAGGATTTCACCTGGAAGCAAAGGAGCATCCCAATGTAAACTATATCAGGAGAGAATGACTGTCAGGGAAAAGGATCCTGATATAGGAAACAAGACCTATAAGAAATGACTACATAAGAGGGGCAGGGCTCAGCCTCCTTCTCTTAGTCTAATTCCAAGAAGTGTGAATTAGAAATGGGAGAAATGCCACATGGAGGCATACTAGACCTTAGGAAATTATGTGTGTCATTTTGAGAGCTGGGTGATTTAGCCTCACAGGACTATCTGTGTTTTATTCTTTTTATTAACCCTTTGCCTTCAGCAAAATGTTTTTGAATGCTCTAGCCTGGTCATCTTGTAACTAGATATAAAGGAAAAAGTTCACATTTTGTCTGCTTTAGGGCTGCAGTTCTTCTCAACCCCAGGCAGTAGTCCTCCCCTAGGGACACGCGTAAAGACGATTTTTTGTTGTCATAACGACTGGGAAGACCAATTGGCCTTTAGTGGGCAGGAGGCAGGGATGCTAATCACCACGCGATACTCATTACAAACCCACACAAAGAAGATTATCCTGTACAGTATGAGAGTAGCATGCCCACACACAGAAACTGGTACAGTGTTAAAGAGGGAAGCACGCCCTCCCGAGGCTGTTGTGGCAGTGACAGTGGTCACTGATGAAAGCACTATTAAAAAACAAAAGATCAGTGTCTGAAAAGGGGTTGAGATATTTTGTTCCGACTACTGTAACCTACCAAGAGATTCTCTTTCTGGTACCAACTGTGGAGGTTTCTGTATTTTTTAAGTGTGTGTTATCATCACTATTATAAAGGAAAGCAGTTATTTCCTTACATAGAGACCCCAACTATATATGCGAATTTACTGCACCTGATACTCTCTTCATAGCAGATATTCACGAATTACCTTGGACACATTCCTTGCTTCCTGGCCTGCTAGAATTCCCAGCGGGCAGGGTAGATAAGCCTTAGGATTTAATGAATGGATGAATGACAAAGCTGCTATTTGGTCACCTGGCCTTGAAGCTGAGTTCTCCAGTTCATCCAGCAAATCTACTTTCCCCATGGCATCTCTTTAACAGGCCCCAATGACTATATTCCTTTAACTTCTCTGCTTACCTTTCAAAGGTATATTGTCTCATCTCTCACCCTTGGGCAGTCTCATCTGTAGCTGCTCACCATGTGATTGGCCTCTGGCCATACACTAGCCCTCACTATTCATTGCTTATTCTAATCTATGTCTTTCCTGAAGTGTGCAGTTTCCTTTAAATAATTTCCTTAATCTCTGGCTCCATATTTGTTTTATGTGTAAAATGGAGCTAATAACTCACTTTCCTTGAAGGCAGAAGCCTGGGACCTCAGATAGATGTTTTCTTTCTATTCGCTAAATTCTGTACAAAATTTTTATCCTCATGAGACGGGCTCTGGTCTGGAATGCCTACTCTTGCTCTCGCCCACCCTCCCACTCATCTCCAGTCCCACTTTTCTCTGGCAAAGCTTCCCTGCCCCCTCAATCTCCAACCTTTCTTCCTCCTCAGAATGATTCTGTCCTGAGCAGTGCAGCCTTACTTTGAAGCCATCTGCTTTGTTCTTTACTTGATGGGTATTATAAACTTTTTCATCGAGTATATGTTTACTGAAGAAAAGAAACACGTCATATCCCCCACCACAATCTTTTCCTTTAATGAAGCATCTTTAAAAGCATAATACTTGCAAATAAAAGATGTCAGAGACAGGGAAGTAAATGATTAAGAGAGTGAATAAGAATCTCTACAAAATGGGTTAAAAACTTATTCAACTTTTTACTCTGAAATTGTAAAGGACATACAAGCATGTAATCAAAATTCATTAAATTAATGGGTGGACATGGACTTGTTTAATGTGTTTCTGCAGATTAGAACCAGGGGTATAACTATGACATTTGAAAGGGGTAGTCTGGGGATAAACAGAAAGAAACACCTGAACAGAATTAATCTGTGTGTGAGAGAGAGACAGAGACGATGAGAGACATAGACAGACAGAGAGATACAGACGGAAACTCCAACGGCCCCAAGAATATCGAAGAGTCCCTTGTATTATAGGGGACTGTTTCCCTGAGGTACTAAAGGTGAGGGTGGAAGGGTCTAAGGCCAATGCCTAATGGACCTTCCAGATCACCTGGTTCGGTCCTTGTTTTTACAAGATGAAGAAAAGGATGTCTAGAGAAATCAAACATGCCACAGGCGGAGCATGACCGAGCACTGGAGGGCAAAGCTTCCTGACCCCTGGCCATGCCAGGTCCACACTCTCAGGAGGCTGGCTTTCACGAGGGCTTGCTGTGGGCCTCTTTTGTCCCTATATCTCACCCGCCTCCACACCACTTTACTACTTTATCTGGTTCTATTTTAAATCTGTCCAAAATAGAGTTTTAAAAAAGGCTTCAAGTCTTATGAGTAGAGTTTTGTATATGGGTTTTTTTGTTTTTTTTTTTTGAGACAGAGTCTCACTGTGTTGCCCAGGCTAGAGTGTGTCATCCTAGCTCACAG